GAATCTCTTGAAGTAATTTAATGATTTTGCACAACTTTAGAAAATGATTTGGGCATTTGTTTAAAATACATTTGAGCCTTTCAAGCCTACCTGTGATATTATTGCCCCTTGATCCCCTATTTGAGCCTTTAATTGAAAAATCATGTTAATTCTTTTTGGAACCTACAACTGATCCTAGCCTTTACAACATGAAAAACCATGAACCACCTTGATCTTGAGATAATTGACATGTTATTGGTTGGTAGTGAGGCACGATTGTTAGAGGTGGTATGTGATTGTAAAATTGGGTGTGGGAATGTATATGATGCATGGTGTTTGTACTCTTAAGTCAAGTCAAGTTTATTTTTTCTTATAAAAAAGAAACAAAAAAAAAGAGAAAAAATGTTTAAAAAAAGTTATATTCCAATAAGATTTGGAGTACAAAGAATTCAGTTTGATGAGTTTGGGGAATGGTTGGCATTTTGAAAGAAAATTTTGTGTGGTAAAGGAAAAGTGAAAGGTACATGAAGTCATTTATCTCAAGATATTTGAATTGTCTCCTTTGCCATTTTTTCATTTAGCTTAACCCGTGGCCATATTACAAGCTTACAAAGTCCTATTAATTTTAGAATTGTGTGAAGTTATTCTTTTGTGTAGAGAGAGGAAAATGCTAGGCATATAAAGTCTTGATCTTGAGGTTGTGTTATACATATCGAAGTGTTGTAGCTGATCTCGACAGTTGTAGGAAAGTTGTATTCTGACTCTTCACACACATACACATTTTGAAAATTGATAGAAGGCCTGTTTTTACATTGTGGGTCTTGTATTTTTCTGTATTTCACTATGTTCTTGTTGAGTATATCTTGTTGAGCAACTATGAGGTAATCTTCATGCATGCTAAGTAAGTAGATAATTGATCAATCTAGTTATTTTACCGTATGGTTTACTCGAGGACGAGTAAAAGTTAAAGTTTGGGGGTGTGTTAACCTTGTGAAAATCCATGCTATTTCAGGACATTTTCTCTTAGTTGTCTTACTTTTTGGTGAATTAATGAATATTTGAAAGCATTTATGAATGGAAAATGTGCATAGTTAATACTTGGGCTAAATTATTGATTTATAGTTAATTGTTAATATATTGCCCCTAGTTCATCAACTTGGCTTTCATAGTTGTTTTGTTTTGTTAGGTAGTTGAAGCTTGCTAATGGAGCTAATTGAAGCAAATTAATTAAACAAAGAAAAGATCCAAAATAGTGAGCTTCTCGCCTCAACCAACAGGAACTTTTGGCTGTAGCCAACAGAAGAAACAGAGAGGAATTGGCCACAGCCAAGAAAAGCTTTGGCTGCAGCTAACAGGAAATTACTGGTGCTATGCATTTTAAGGACAGCACACATCCTAGGTCGAGGGACGCAATAAAAAAGAAAGAAAGGACTGAAAAGGGAGATCCGGACCTTAAGGGAATTGGAGTGCTAGGGTTTTGGGAGATTGAAGAACTTGGAGCAAGGAATTAAGCTTTAGAAGAGATTTGGAGCTCCTTCTTCTTGGTTTTCTTGCAATTCTTCCCTTTCCTTTCTTGTCATCTGTTATGGCTGTAATTTTTCTTTATAGTTGTGACTTGTGGTTGATTATGAGTAGTTGAACACTTCATTCTAGGATTATTTTGAACCCTTGTATGGATTAACTCATGATTACTACTCATATTTTGTGATGAATGATAAATATATGTGTTTATTTTACTCGTTTCTTAATGCTTCTAAATGCTTGATCACCATTTGGTTGTTTTGTTCATTTGATTGACACTTGAGAATGTTAGGTTAAGTGTAGAACTTGGTTTGCAAGAATTTAAAATTTACTTGTTGAATGGATAGTTTTCTTGGTAAGATAGAGATATACTTACCAACCTTGCATAGTCACTTTGGGATTGCAGCTTAAAAAATTGGGTTTTATTAATTGTAACAAGAGATTGAGCAATTAATGGGATTAAACACTTGTGCTTGACTTGAGAAAGCTTTTACAAGTACTCTTTGAATCCTAGACTAACACATATTTTTATTAAGAGCAATTATAAGAGAAGATAACTCAAAGGTTATGAAATACAAGGGGAATGAATAATCCTAGGCGCTTTTATCCCTTGAAGTTTAAGAATCAATTACTTTCATTGCTTTCGAGTTTTAAAATTTTTTTTCAAAATTCACTTTTCCCTGAAATTGGTTAGCTCAACTTAATTAAATTCACTTAGCCTTTTGTTTGGTTTTGATTTTTGCACAAATCTCTATGGGAACGATTTTTTCTCATCACTCTATTATTTGTCACGACCTGTGCACTTACAGTGCGAACAATCTTGAAGAAGGTCACCACAGTGAGCTTAACTTTTTTTCCCCCGCTTTTGTGTATGTTACTTCAGGTTTAGGACGTCCTTCATACGCTGGAGCTTCATGTTTTCATTGATTCTTTGGGAGCTTTTGTAAAGGCAAAATCTCTATCAATTACTTGAGCAAATTAAAGAGCCTTTCCCAAGGAATTGCTTCGATATACTTTGATGATCTGCTCATATATTTAAGCTTCACAGAATCTAATTCTCCATAGGCAAAAAAGAAAAAGGATATTGAGTTTAGATTGTTTGACCCATAAGCTGCAATAGGTTTCTGCTAGGACGATATGCACTTTAGCTCTGTTTCTTTTTTATTAGACCTTTAGTTTAATTTGCTGCTTAATAATACTTTTTTATTCTTCTTATCTTTTAACCTTTGCTTTCTTGTGTTTCTGCCTTGAGTCTACTTTAGGCAATCAAACTATATTTTCCCCCTCACAAGTTAATTACAACCTTTTTAAAAAGTTTGTACCTCTCTTTTCTGTTTTTTTAATAATTTTTTCATAAACACTTGATACTCGTATTACATGTAATTGCTAAACTAAACGTAGTATGAATGCACTTTCTTTTAATCAGATTTGAATCCTAGGGCTTATTTAAGAGAATTTGTTAGAAAATTATTTAATGTGGTTTGGACATGTGCAAAAAAGAGGTCACTGATAGAGCTGGTTAAGAGGATGGATAAGACAATATCAAGTCTTTTGCTTAACAACTTAGCTACTAATTTCGTTGCTAATAGAGCATAATATCGTGGTGCAATCTATAATAACCAAGTCTACTTATAAAATAAGACTTCTTCTTGTTGTTAGATCCTCTCACTATATAGTAAACAAAAGTGTAGTAGGAAAAAGAGTTAGAAATAATTGGTGAAATTAGTGTATAAGACTGTTTTTATTTATTCTAAATGTTTTTATCTTTTGTACAATATTATAAGTAATAAATTATTTAATTCAGAGATAATAAAATTAGAATTTGATAGGGCCATTGTTTAAGAAATCACAATTCTTGTCATGTATAAAACGAAAACAATAAACACTTTATAAGTTAAAACTAATGTTTTATCAGTTCCGTTTTTTGCATTTGTAAAGATAAACAAAGAGAAGTACAAAATTAAATTAAGATATTACAACAGATCTCTCACGAAATCAACTTCAATTATAATTTACCTGATTGTTTCACTCATACAAGAAATTTATACACTAAACCAAAATACCCTCAAAGTTCAGCTTGTTGTGCTATCGATTTTTACTTTTCAAAATACCCTCATAAATCTTTCTCAAGAGAATTACTTTTCCTTGCATCGTACGTAATTATAGATCAAGAGTCATCAAGAGGAGGAAGCAATGAATAGAAATCACCATTTTACCACATATTCCACAATTTGTTGAAGAAAACATTATTACAAGCAATATAAAATACTACAATTAATCCCTTTTTTAAAAAAAAAAATACAACTTCTATCTTATCCCTATTTATGGAAAAAAAAAACATTTGTCAGATATCTCAAATTTTTTGTTAGTTTCCTATTTTATTCTTATTTATTACTTATTTTAATACTCAATATATGTTTATTATCTCATTTCTCATAACACCATTCTTTTTATTTTAGTAATTTCCTTATTCTTTTCCTTAAGCTTATAATTTTTATATCTGTATAGTCTTTAACCAATTTCGACTAATTTTTTATCCATGTAATTTGGTTAAATATTTCCTAGAAAAAGGATTGTATAAAAGATTAAAAAAAATACAATATAATATAATGACATAAAAAATTGTAAAATATGAAATTAAAAAACAACAAAAAAAACCAGTCGAAATAAACGACATCAACAAATTATTCATGAACATAAACTGAAAATGGCTTTCCAGAGTAACCACAAAAGTATTTCAAATATCTTTGTTCAAAAAATTCATTCTTTGCAACGTAATAAAAATATTTACTTTCCAAAAAAAAAGAAAGAAAGAGTACTTGTAGCTTATAGAGGGACATATCAAAGGTAAAGACTATACATAGTAAGTGGAACCTCAACAATTGAACATCAGAAAAACAGTCGTTGCATAACCTCTCATCAAAAGTCAAAACTCCTATTCGCTTGGAAGATCACAAGGTATTCTCATTCAGCAGTGAATTATTTTCCTTATTTTGTTCACTTTCCTTTAACTTTGCTTATAGCTTGTCAGATTTCAAATGCAAGATTAATTAATTCGTCAATTATTAGCCTTTCAACCATTTTTAAATTCAACTTATAGAACTTTTATGAAATTAAAAATCAGTCCTTAAAACGAAATTTATTACGGCTTAACTTTTAAATTTTATGTAAGCATATCCTTCATTACTAATTTGTTTAATTACCTTTCTGTGGTACAAAAAAAAGAAACTGTTTATTCTCTAGCCCTTTGCTTCTAACTACTATTATCAAACTTATGAGTTGACTCCCAAAATTCATCATTTTTATATTTATAACTTACAAAATCGTGTTAATTGACACTCTAACTCATATTAGCCATAAATTCAGTTAAGAGAATTAAACATGTATTGAATAGAACCCAATTTACAAACTATGTAGAAAGCCCAATCCAAAGAAAAATAAGAAATCATAAATATTTATGTTGAGTATAATAAATGATGAATATTGATGGATCACATGCCTTTGACGAATTCCAATGTTCATTAAGCAATTAGAAAATTTTAAATTTTATCCATGCCTTGAACATCAAATAATGTAAGCCACAGCACGCACCTTCTTTACTATTAAATCATTCATTATTTTTGGTGACATAAGCAGTAAAATATTGCAGGGTAGGTATATTTATGTTGGATTTAAATGTATGACCCCCATAGAATTATGCGAAGGTGCCACTAGTTTTATCGCTCGTCCTGGCACACAGTGTTCCCCAACATTCTAATTATTTATGGATTCCTTTATACCCTTGACTACTAATACATACAAGACCTAAGCCTTCTTCAACGAGTGTGGCGTGGAGTGCTGAGCAGAGCAAATAAACTTTTTTCCCCCTTCTTTAGAGTTTAGATGGCAGAAGCAATTCATACTGAGATCAACTGGGAGCCGATGCCTAATGGCATGAATCAACAAGACTTGGCCTCTGAGACTGCTCAACAAATGGTAGAGCTGAAGCGACTACATCTTTCATCTCAGCCTTCAGATTTATCTTTCAATTACTTGCAAGAACAAGAACACGTACGCATGCTTTTTTCAATTTCTTTCATTTCCTTATGCTTACAATTGTTAAGGTTGGTTGTCACACCCCAAAAATTTAGGAGTGACCAGCATAGAATATGAGAAAACTCATTCCTAAAGCCTTAAAACATATGAATAAACACTTGCCATAATAATTAGAATACCATTCATATAGAATAAATCTCTTGTAATCAAAATATAAGGCCATTAGTAGAACTTCGCAAATAACTCGCAGGCACAACACAAAATAAGGAGCTCCTCTCAACATCAATACGAACATATATTCATATACTTAGATTATGTGAAGGATCTAAAACCCATAAATAAACAATAACATAAATGTAACTTAGTTTTACATCAATTAGCAGTTGTTTTAAGCTTTGATCAGTAATGAGAACTTTTTCCCCCCTATTCAGTTGAAGATGCAAGGTTAGCAGTGCTATCCAAGGACAAAATAAATTTTACTCATGAATAGCCCTCTGTTAATAAGAAAAAGATAAAACAAATCTTAAAATAATAACTTGTACAAATACAACAAGATAACTGACGGATTCATGATTTCTTTTTTTAAAAAATATTAAAACATGAAATATATATAATTATAAAACATTTTTAATATGGAAAATTTACAAGGCACTTTAACAACATTTGTGATATTTTTCAATGGAAGACTTCAATGGAACGAACAAGCGTGGATACACAATTCACGAGAGTAAGTAAACAACAAGCGTGGCTAAAACCATGAGTACAAGCATAGCTAAAGCTATGAAACAAGTGTGGGAACAATGCCCACAAGTATCAAGCAAGCTCGATATTAACCATGGCGCACCAATACAAGCGCAGCTGAAGCCACGAATACAAGTGCTGCCGAAGCCACGAATAACAAGCGCAGGAACAATGCCCACGAATGACAAGTGTAGCCAAAACCACGAATAACAAGCAAGCTCGATATTACCATAGCACACCAAGAGCTAACGGTACTACTATTAACAACCAGCATTCTATATTCAGTCCTCACAAAAATCATTTTCAAGCATGCATGGGCCCAATTTATCATCAGTAAATAAGAATCTTTTCTATCATTTAACACATGTAAAAAGAATATTTCATAACAAAAGACGCCAGCATGAAAGTTCATAAAATCTCAAATATTTTCCTCAAATTTGATCAATGAACAAAAATCACCTTTTCGAGTAATAATAACCCAAGCAAGAGCATTTCAAGATGGAAAAAAAAAAGAAATTTACAACATGGAACAAATGAAAACGAATAATGGCACAAATGAAATGAGGTTGTTATGATGAAACAATACTCGAAAAATAGGGGGTAACTAAATACAATAAAACAAATAAGAAAATATCATTCATAACAACCTATTTATGGGATGCTATTCACACTTTCATTATACTTCAAGATAATCCTTATTCTTTACTCTTACAATCGTGAACAATAATATGCCGCACAACCCATTTAGTACAATGATTTGGGCAGCCAAGATACACCATCTTAATCCTCAATTTGCAACAATTTCATATAGTAAGATAACTTGAATCTTAACCCCCTTTTTTTGTTTTTTTACAAATACTGAAGTTACAAATTCGAATAACGATTGCGTTTTATCACCCTTAAATATTAGCTAAGTAACCGAATGCCATGAGTTCGAAATATAACATCTACTTTTCCTTTCGGCAAAGCATTTTGTCAGCCATGAGTGTCCCACCATCCCCTTCATGAGCTTAAACTTTAATTAAGTTCCTTTCGCCCTTCTATAGCATAAGCCTAAGCTTTCTAGCAAATTTTAGTAGCCTCCCAATCCAATTCTTCTCTTGAACATTTAACAAACACTTCAAGTGCATTCTACAATTCAACTCCTAACCCTCGGACAATCTTAAATTTAAACCAATTCAATTCATACATTCCTTTATCAACCAAAACGCTCTATTATTATAGAGAATACTTGCCTCTGGTTCAATTTGGTGCACACTCTTCACCGTTATACCTCACAATAAATCATTTCTATCCATCATACAATTCGTCAAACACCTTGGGTGCACGCATTCAATACAAAATTAAATGAAAATCAGGCACCATAAATCATCAATCACGCAAATCTCAACTAACCCATCAACATCACAAAATTTTCTGCCTCAATTCGTTAACCAGACCTAACTTGCAACGATGAGAAATCATAATTTGAAAAGAAACCAAAACATGCAAAGGATATTTACCTACTTCAATCGGACACCCCCACCACCATCTTCCATTAAACCGTATTTCCAATTCCTCGTGGTCCCAATTTCTTGCTTAAACTACGCGGATAGCATGCACCACCATGAGATACAAAACAGAAAATGAAGGAGACGAGTTGATGATGCAGAAAGGAGGAAGAGGCAGCAATCAAGGGAGATGAAAGATGAGTGAAAGAAAGGCGAGGAGGACAGAGCAACAGATGGCAACCTTGTTGGTAGATCGCCAGTGAATTTTTGCATCGTGCAGCCCCCTGGTTCCAGAAAATTTTCTGCCCCTTCCCTCTTCCCGTTTCTCATCCCCTGCAAGCTAAAACCAAAGCCAGTAAAATAACAATAACAACATCCTCCAAGCAGGGCGCAAAGTGACGCCACTTTCCTTCAAATTGGGCCCGAAATGGGCTCTTATCACTCTTTTATCTCGGACTATATTTTGGGATCCTCCTTTACCAAATTGGAAATAAATTCCAAAATTAATTGTTTGGGAAATTCCTAATCAAGAAAATTGTCATATTTCTTCTTCTTTTTTTTTTTAAAGCCTCCCTTCATATAATATTTCTTCTTACATTTATTGGATTCAATATGGCCCCATATAATTTCACTTTGTTTTGGATAATAATAATAATAATAATCTTTTCTAAGCCCAAAAATTAATTTGAACTTAGAACTTCCATTTCTTGGAAGTAACTACTCCCGTTAATTCACTCAATCCTCAAAATAATTATTTCCCACATTTTATAATTATTAAGGCCTTTAAATAATTTAAATTATGTAATTTTGGTTAACAAAAAAAACTCAAATATAGGCTCCTCTTATTGTTGGACTACAATAATTAAAAAAAAATTACTAACCAACATTTCATACATCTACATCAGGGCTATGACATTCTTGAAAGAAAATTTTTTATGACAAAAAATAGAGAGTACACATGGTTAGTTATCTCAAGATATTTGAATTCCTTCTTTCCATTCTTTTGATGAGCCTAATGAGTACCATAAGCCACGTTACAAGCTTACAAAGTCCTATTGATTTTGGAATTATGTGGAATGATATTTTAGTAAGTGAGAGAGGAAAAGGGGGGCATATGAAGCTTGATATTGAGGTGGTTTCATTATATATTGGAATGTTATTAATTAATTAAGATATTAACGAATTAATTGAGCTAAGTACCTATTTGGAGACTTGAGCGAGCACTTATAAGTAATTTAGTATCTTTGGTGGCATAATCTATAATTAAGAAACAAATACAATGGGGATTTAATTGAGTACTTTTGAAATATAGGGGGATAAATAATTCTATGTCCCTTTGAATCATTGGAATTGAAGAATCACTTTTTCTTTTTATTAATTTTTAATTTTATAAATAGTTTGCTTTCACTTTTGATATTTGTATTATTCAAATTAAGTGAAAGTGTGATAATCAATACTTGAGGGTTTTGAAACCAAATCCTTATGGGAACGATACCTTACTCATCACTTTATTACTTGTCACGACCTGTGCACTAACCAATGAATAGAAATTTCAAATGATTAGAATATATTCTGGCAAAGATTAAAGTTTGTAAAAGAGGATTATGAGGGGCTATGGGAGAATATATGCATGTGGGAGTATGCTTTAAATCTGGAAAAGGCTTCCAGATCAAGTGCAAGGTTATGTGAATTATCGGAGATATAAATATACATGTGTATAGGCATGTGTTGTTATAAAAACTCAATACATAGTTACTGTTTAGTATCTCTGGATGTTGAACAAGTATTTTAGGTTATTGAATTAAGTTTAGAAACTTCAAATGAAGTGGAGCCGGTGTCGACATGACATAGTCCTTAAATATAGTAACTAACATAATATTTTTGATCAAGATGACTGGTTACTAAGAAAAGTAACTGTATGGATTGAGATAAGGAAGAAAACCCTCCAAAGAGAATAGTTTAAATAAGAAAAATTATCCAGGATGACCAATTATTACGTAAGAGTAGAGGTTAAAGAAGATTTGAGATTTAAAGAGAGTTATTTAATTTGTGAATTATAGTTGGATCAAATATTGATATACCCTTACCAATATGATAGGTTTTTACATCTGCTCAAGCCCACCAAGAAGCAGAAAGAAAGGAGGATGGTAAGGTTTGATTTGGAGGGAGGCGGACCAAGTAGTAGTTCTTTCCTACCTTACACTTGTGTATGATTGCTGTATGTCTGTTTGTGCCATATTGTTATTCCAAAGCATGAGAACATGTAATCCTTAATTCCTTGCATGCTTTATTAGCCGTGATCACATGTAGCTAAAAGATATAGGGCCTTATGAGCCATTATTTGTGCAGCATTATGTGCCATTACAAGTAAGGCCTTTAAGCCATTATTTATGTGGCCCATAACCTTGCAAGCTATGCATAAAAAGCATTTAAGTGCAATGACACATAGTTAGATTGATTAGCTGAATACGCAATCAATGGCACATAAGGCCGGACATACAATGGCTGGTATTTCCATATGGCTTGTTTTGCATGCTTTATGTAATATGCATATGTGTTTGATGGAAATTACTACTACGAGGATTCTCCAGAATCTCACCCCTTCCATGATATATAGCAAAGGCGCACAACGTTAAGGGAAAGGAAGTTGTATAAGAAGAAGGAGGGCTGGTTGAAAAGCAGACGTGGTTGTTATATTTTGTAAATATGTAGCAAAATATCTTGATAAGTTAATATTTATTTTATTTTATATGTTATATGGGCAAGTAATTCTACTTGCTTTATGGAAATATTATTTTGTATCCTCTATAAGGAGGAGAGTATTACCGGGTGCACGTATGTGTTGTCAACCAAGAATGTTGCTATATTTTTAATATAATATTATGATATTGTATAGTATGAAATCATTTTAGGTAATAATAGATTAAGTTGAAAGCTAGATTGATTGTGGATCACTCTTCAATTATTCTAAAGGTTTGAAATGTTTGATCAACGGATTCCAATGTCAAAGAAAAAAATTTTTCCCTATCTTTTCCTAGGTCAGAAACATGGTGTTAGTGATTCACAAGCATTAAAATGATCCTATTAGTATATATAAAAGTAAGGCGTTATAATAACAATTTCCCTTTTCTCTCACTATATGATACTTTAATTAAGAGTACTGCTTACATAAGGCGTTAAATTAAGAATAAAAAAAGTAATGTTTATAACAATTTCCCTTTTCTCTCACTATATGATACTTTAATTAAGAGTACTGCTTACATAAGGCATATTAATCTTTATATATTCCTTTAAAACCTTTAATATGCTTCGCGCTAGATTTTGCTTTGTTTTTCGTTTGCTTTTTTATTATCCCTTTTTTAAACTTTATTTGCTTACGTTTCTACTTTCAGTTTACGCCTAACGATTGAAGTGCTTGAGACCCATTTCATTCATTCATACACATTCTATTTTTTTCCTATACCACTAATAATAAACTACTTATGCAAGCATTTAGGCCTGAGTTTAATGCGCGTTAATATTTAACGACAATAACTAAGTTAAAAATGACTAAATTTCGCTGAAATATCACCTTATTAATTTCACTTTTCACGTTGGAAGAAGTAATATTCTTGGGAAAGAATATTTTGAAGGTATTTTGAACATTCTTTTTTCAAGAATATAATATCACTTCCTTAAGTAGTGCTTGTAAAGTCATATTTTTTTTAAAAAAAAAAAAACAGAAACTCAAAACAAAACAAAGGAAATGCTAGCTTGTATGGGGATGAACTTCTCATGATATATAGCTTGTTTGACGCTAACATTGGTGGTTCCGGTGTGTGAATCTCGTTTCTTGACTAAGTGTAGATGGCAGAAGCAATACATACTGAGATGAATCAAACGGACTTGGACTCTGATGAAAGTGCTCAACAAATGCTGGAGCTTACAGATTTATCCTCCACTTGCTTGCAACAACAATACGTATGCATCCTTTACCACTATTTGTCCATTTGTGAAGCCTTTTCTTATTTTCTTGAGCTTCTTTTTGCTTCCAGAGTATCTAAGGTCGCTTCTGTTTAATTCCTCAATTATTAGACTTTTTTAACCTTATTTTATTTCGCCTTTCAAAGATACACACTTGTCAGATTGCCAGTCTGCATCCTGTGCTTTTTATTCGTGATAGCTTTTCTTAACTTCTTTACATCTCCCTTAATTTGCTCGTGTTTAATACCCTGTTGAATTTTGTGCACCCTCTTCTTCAGCCTTATCTGGTTTTAGTCATAAACAAGTTATTGGAATACAAATCAGTTATTATATATCAAGAACACAATTTAGATAGCAGAAGCTCTTTGTCACCTTTTTTTAAATTATTATTTTACTCATACAAATTAAAGTGGAACTAAATTGACGACTGTTTAAGACAATCATCAAATGACCAGTGCCAGTTTTGGTTGTTTACACTCTTCTTCGATCATCCTTTATTCACCTTTACATTTTTAATTCCTTGAGTGATGCATGGTCAAGATATCTTAAGTTCTTTCATTTGATCCTCACTTCTCCTTTTCTTTGGACAACTTTCAATGATATGCCCTATGAATTCCATGTAAACCAAGTGTCAATATGCATGACAGTAATGAATATGAATGTTATTATGCCATGCATATGGAAATTCTTATAATATTTTAATAACCGACTCTATTTAGTGGGATAAAACTTGTAATTGTTATCATATGTCTTTTGAACATATAACTGAGATATATATATATATATATATAAAGAGTTTAAAGAGCAATACTTTAATAGGAAAAAATGATTTGATAAAATATAAAGTAAGTTTTATGCAATCAATCAATTTTTCCAATATATATAATATAGAACAAGATGTGTAAAAGCCCTTTAAAGCACTTGTTTCATGGTTGTACTTAGCTGCAAATATATATATATATATATATATATGAAAACAGCAGAACTTAGTTATAATTAACTTCGCTAACACTAGTATAAACCAAAACTTATATTAAATAAAATGCTATAGACTATTATGTCCAACAAATAGAACAGAGGATTTGCGATATTGAGGCAAAGGTTAGAATTGAAAATGAATTTTGAAACCAGATTTCAAAATGAAATAATGATCAGTTCATTATAAAAAAAGCCGTGAAATGATTAAGGCTTGACAGTTATTAATTAAAAAAAAACTGTCAAATTTTGTCTTCAATTATAACTGTCAATTAATAAAAAATTTCAAAATTAAAAAAAAACCTATTTGATGGTTATTTATTTAACCATAATCTATATTTTGTCAACAAATGTGACAATCAAATTAGTACCTGTCAATTAAATACTCCTTCACCATCTGCCTCAACTTACACCACCCTTTTCTATTCAATCGATGAGTTTTAAGCGTCAAGAAAGCTCATTTCTGTAGTAAATTGTTTTCTTTTTTTCTTTCTTCTCCGGAATAGGGGACTCGTGTGTGTGTTTGTGTGTGTAAAATGCTTATCTAGCTTTCTTAGTTGCTTCCTAAATCAAATTTGATAGGTGGAAGATGAGGTGACTATAGATGTGAAGGAAATGATTCAAGATTATGGAGATGGTCTCTTGTTACCAGAGTGTTGTATCTATAGGGTACCCATTTTGATACGTAATCTAAAAGAAGAGGCTTACACTCCAAAAGTTGTTTCAATTGGCCCCTTTCATTATAACAATGAGAGGCTGCAAGAAATGGAAAGGCATAAACAAATATTGTTCAAAAGATTTACTCAAAGAGCTATGTCATGCTTAGACGATTTGGTTCGCTGTGTAAAACACTTAGAGCCAAAAGTCCGTGCTTCTTATTCACAGGCCATTAACCTTACTGAGCAAGAACTTGTGAAACTGACTTTAACAGATGCCGGCTTCATCATTCAACTCTTCATGATGTTCCATGAGGTGGAGGCCTTCCGCAAAGATGCTAAATTGTCACAGCCATGGTTGGCAGATTCTATACTTTATGATTTGATGCTACTTGAGAATCAACTTCCATTCTTTGTTATTGAAGAGTTGTTCAACAAAGCTTTTCCTCATGACCGTCGTGATGGCCTCCCTTCATTTCTTAAGCTGGCATATGGGTATTTTGGGTATTATAACATTCAAAAATTAGAGCCCAATCCTGATATTAAGATAAGACATTTTACAGATCTTCTTAGATTGTTTTACTTACAAGGAAAAATATCTCCACGGGAGCCATTCACTTCAGAGGCTAGAAGCCGCATTCTTTTATACAGTGCGAATGCATTGCAAAAAGCTGGCATAAAGTTGAAGGCTAATATGAGCAAATGCTTGTTAGACTTGAAATTTTCAGGACATATTCTTGAAATTCCGCAAATTTTGGTGGATGATGAAACTGAGGTTTTGTTTCGTAATATGATAGCACTGGAACAGTGTCATTATCCTTATGATTCTTACATTACTGACTACGCTCATGTATTGGATCGTCTAATAGACACATATAAAGATGCGGATCTCCTCGTTCACAAGAAAATAGTCAACAACCATTTAGGTGATGCCAATAATGTTGCTTTACTATTTAATGGTCTTTGGGAAAATATCACTCAACTGAATTTCAATTCCGAATACCTTGATATCTGCCAAAGGTTGAATGGATATTGTGAAGATCATTGGCACAAAATGAAGGCAACTCTAAGACGTGATTATTGCAACACTCCTTGGCGTACTGTGGCCTCCATTGCTGGAATCATCCTCCTTGTTCTCACCATTGTTCAAACCATATTCTCAGTCCTCCAAGCTGTATTGAAGAAGTAGATTTAAAGCTTATTGTATGTTTAATTTGAGTGTTCTATCATCCAAACAATGTTCATTGCGTAATTTTTTATTAAGTCCATCGATGGCCTCCACGGTATCTAAATAATATGAGAAATCTCAAGCGTGTGTGTGTGGGGTATGTGTAGCCTTATAATTATAAACGTTGTTCAAGCAATATTTTCTATCTTCCTAGCGTCATTGTCGAAGTAGATTTAAAGCTTGTACAATAGAAATTAAAATATACTCTCTAGTCATGTTAATAATGAAAGATGGATATATAATTTTTAAATGAGTGACAAGTAGGACTTTAACTATTGTGTGCGCACTCGCGTTTGCTACTGAAAAGGTATAATACGATACTACATCGCGTGGAGTTTGATATCAGTGGTATTATTTATGATCTATGAATAGTGAGTTTGCTATGAATTTTATATTATAATTTTTGATATACTACCTCTAATCCTTAATATAAAAACTAATTTAATATTTAATTCGGTCCTAAATATAATACCCCAATCTACTTTGTCTCTCATATTCATCTTTTTTTTTTATATGATAGTCTTCGTAGTAGTTACACATGTTAGAGATTTCATCAAATAGTAGTTCTAACATACATGATTAGTAAGGATATTCTAGGAAAAACAATATCTATTTAAATAACTACTTTAACTAATTTTTTAATATACTGAAATTAATCAATTAGCTCTTATATTAAGGACTAGAAATAATATTGAATATTAGTCCTACTTCGCACATTGGATTTCATGATGAAACGCATAACATATTCTCAACGGCCATAAGTGTTCAACAAATCATCTCCTCTTCCAATATTATCATTTTTTTCATTTTGTCCTCTTTGACCAGCTTTTGAATGTGAAGTTGGATTACATTTGGAGGTAAATGCAATCAACAATCCCAAGTAAATTAATATATTAATTCTAAAACACTTTTGGTAGGTAACCCATAACGCCTCCCAAAAAAAAGAAAAATGGACTGGCATTAAATCATCATTTGTCAGTGAAGGCTTAGGGATCCCATCATTGAACACCATGCAAGGGTTTAGGATATTACTTCCCAAACCACATGGATCTTGCTTCCACTAATTGGCTTCTTCATTAATGTGGCTTCAGGGATTGTGAGATTGGCTGCCATGAACCAGATCTTAAAGGACGAAGAGCATTCATAGAGCAATTGGGTCAACTCGCGCGTGTTCCCGTTGAGCACTATGCAATGGGAGGATTATTCTAAAGGTTCATCCTCGATTTCAGTGCGTCAATCTCTGATCTGAATTACCATTCTGGCGTGAAACCTATGGTAAACGGTATATAGGATTTTCGACGCACGCAAATCCCAGCTTTCCTTCGGAAATTGCTGATGCAGCCTCCATTAGTGATGTGGAAAAGTAGGCACAAGTAAGGGGAATCCATGTAATGCAATGATGATAATTGAGGCAGGAAAATGCGGCTGGAGAGGGAGCAATGATGGTAACGGAAGGAGGGAGACGGGGGAAGAGGTTTGGGGGGGGGGGAGAAGGTACCTTCTTTTCACATGGGTTGTTGTGGACTAAATGGACATTTTATAAGGAATTGCAGCTTTGCAATGATCATTCATAGGGTCCCCCTTAGAAATAGGTATTATCCTAAAATGTGCAATCTTTATTACCAATTTCATCTTTTTTATCGTCATTAAATGCAACCAAACATGTCGTCTATGATAGTGTGATAAGGATTATTATTACACATATGGGATTGAACCAAACGGGTCCAAAGTTCTTCATTCTTTACATGACACGGTAATGAACTAATGATATCTTCAATTCCTTCATTTGATGCTCTCTTTTCCTCTACTTTGGACAACTTTCAGTCATTTGTCCTATGAAGTCTACGTAAATCAAGACGTTAGTTTAAGTGTCAATCTCCATGAGAGTAATGATGAATCGGAATAACGAATGCGATGCTACTATGTCATGGATATGAGAAGTCTTATAATTTATGTAATGACATATCTTTTGAACATATATAGCTTGGATACATATAAATACCCTAAAAAGCAAGACTTCAAGGAGAAAAGTGATTTGATAAAATATAGAAGTAAGTTGTATGCAATTAATTAATTTTTTCCATATATAAATAATATGGAATAAGATGAGTAAAAACACTTTAAACAATTCTTCCATGTATAGTTGTGGTTAACTACTACTATTTTCAATTCTTAAGAACTAGTTGTATATTTAATTTGGTCTTATATATAACACCCAAATCCATTGTCTCACACACATATATATTAAAACGATAAATCTTTATTATAGTTAACTTCTTTAACATTTAAAATCAAAACTTATATTAAATATAATGCCATAGGCTATTATGTCCAACAAATAGAACAAAGTGATTTGAGGCAAAGTTTAGAATTTTTTTTTTTTATCATCCTTGTTTCTTTTGATCATCAGGCAAAGTTTAGAAATGAAAATGGGTCTTGAAACTAGATTTTCAAATGGAATATTTGTCAGTTAACTATAAAAAAAATTAAATAGTTAACATTTGATGGTTATTTACAAAAAAGGATAATTAATATGCAAGTCTTTATAGTTTCAATCAGTTTTTAATCATGTCACTATAATTTTTTTCTTTTTATCAAGCCCTTATAATTTCATATGTTTTTAATCAAGTCCTTATTGTTTTACCTTATTTTTAATTACGTCCTTGTAGTTTTATTCTTTATTTTATAAATAATAATTCTATAAATAATAAATTAGTATAATAATCTTATGTTAATATTCTTTTAAATTTTAGTTAAATATATATTATTTTTTCAATTCTAAGTTTATATATTACAAAATTGAAATTATAATAATAAAATTTTCTAAAATTAGAATATAATTATAAATAATTTATAGTTAAGGATAATTGATTGCTCTGATTAATTATTAATTATTTTGTCCAATTATATAATTATTAATTTAAAAATGAAATTAATTTTAAATAATAAAGTTAATAAATAATTTTTTTAAACTACAAAGGACCTAAATAAAAAATAAATGAAACTATAAGGGTATGATAAAAAGAAAAAAAAAGGGACCTACTTAAAAACACATGAAATTGAAAGGATCTAATAAAAAGAAAAAAATTTATCTGGACCTGGTTAATAATCAGATAAAATTATAAGGATTTGGAGATTAATTATTTCTTATAAAAAAGACTATCAAATTTGTCTCCAATAACTATTTGATGGTTGTTTATGAACAATGATCAATTAATAAAAAATTTAAAGAAATAAAAAAAATTAAACTTATCTGACAGTTATTTATTTAATTACCAAATATTTTGTCAATAAATTTGTTGGTCGAATTAATAATCATCAATTAAGTACTCCTCGACCTCTACCTCAACTTATTCTGTGTTTTTCTATTTAACAATCAAGTTTGAAGCGTTAAAAAGCTCATTTTTGTGGTGGCGTGTTCCTTTTTTTAATCTTAAATTTTGGAACAGGAGACTCTTTCTATGTTTGCATGTGTGTATATTATGTAATTTCTAGTTTCATTCTAAACCAATCGTCTTGAGCGGAAGATGAGGTGACCATAGACATCAACATTTTCTATTATTAGAATGTTTATCTACAGGGTGCCCATGGAAGAAGAGGCTTGCACTCCAGAATTGTCTCAAATGGCCCTTCTCATTATTATTATGGTAATGAGCGGCTATAAGAGATGGAAAGGGATAAACAAATATTGTCAAAAGATTTACTCAAAGAGCTTTGTCAAACTTGAAAGATTTGGTTCATTTTGTAAAACAATTAGAGCCAAAATTCTGTACTTTGTCAAAGACCATTAACCTTACTGAACAAGAACTCGTGAAACTAACATTAATGGATTCTGACTTCATTATTGAACTCTTTGTCATGTCTTATGAGATGGATGTGGTGTACAGCGATGCTAAATTGTCACAGCCATGGTTAACGGATTCTATACTTCAAGATTTGCTTTTACTTGAGAATTAACTTTCATTCTTTCTTACTGAAGAGCTGTTCAACAAAGTTTTTCCCCATGATTATTGTCACCTCCCTTCACTTCTTGGGCTCACATATGAGTATTTTAAGCATCACAACAGGCAAAAATTAAAGTCTAATATAGTCCTTATTATAAAATAAATAATGATTGAATAAGTAAGCTTAGTTTGTAGAATGACCAAATTGGGTATGACTTATATTAAATAATAAAAAATGATTAAAAATATGAATTTATAAAATATAATAATTTTAAACTACTATAATAGGAAGAAGTTATATTTAATGAATAAAATATATTTAAATTAGAAATCATTGTAATGTGAAAATTTTTTAACCAAATAATTACATAAATAATTGAATGATATACTCTACATAATTTATGTAAATATAAAATAAAAATAATAGTAAAAATTAAAAATATTATAAAATTAAAATAATTTTTTTAAAAAACTGTTGAAAATTATTTTTATTTAAGAGAATATTAAAAAACATAACTAAAAACTAATTAGAAAGCACAGAAATATATATAGAGAGAGAAGCATAAATAAGACATAAATATAAGGGCAAAAATATCTTTTAATTTAAAAAGCGACTTTTGCATGAGTCATAAATAAGTTTTAGGTGCTTTTATAATCGTGTTTAAGAAAATAACTTTTGACCCTAAGTTAGATTAATCAAAAGCTATGAGAAATAACTCTCTAATTTGTAAACTGTCTTATTACACCTATAAGTTACTTTTTCCTCCCTCAAATGCCTTATCACACAGGCACATTGTCAGTGACTATTTTACTGGGAAGCATTTTAATAAAGGACCATTGTAACATCTGTTTTAAAAAGAAGGACCAAAAAGGTTCTGAAATCTCAATTCAAACCTTGAGGTCTGAAATGAAAAAAAAAAATGAAAACAGAATGTCCAAAATACCATTGACTTGAATAAAGAGCCAGGGAAAAAAAAACTAAAAAACTTGAGCAAGAAAAATCAAAAGACCAGCTAG